ACGGCTCACAGGCTTCTCTGTAGCGGCTTGTTGTTGCAGAGCACAGGCTCTGGGGCGCATGGGCTTCCGCAGTTGTGGCACGTGGGCTCAGCGGTTTCACTGCAGGGGCTTAGTTGTTCTGCAGCATGTGGGATCTTCTCAGACCAGGGATTGAACCCATGTCTCCTAATTTGGCAAGCAGATTCTTTACCACTTAGCTACCAGGGAAGCCCAAGTCTGGTTTTGTTTTTGAGCAAGGTATCTGCAAGTAAAGCCCCACAGATTTTGATAAATAGAAATGAATCGTGGCAGAGAAGGCTGGATGCCCCAAGTTCTTTTTCCTCCGGAGAATAGAGTTGTTCCTAGAAAGTGGCCACCTCCCCTTGATTAGAATGCAGGTGGATGCAACGTGTGACACTTTCTGCAAGAAGCTTACAGGAAGCAGGTCTGCTTTTTTTTTTTTTTTTAAGCCATTCAGCTTGTGGGATTTTAGTTCCCTGACCAGGGGCTGAACCCGAGGCCTCTGCAGTAAGAGTGCAGCGCCCTAACCACTAGACCACCAGGGAATTCCCCTGGGTCTACTTCCTCCATACTTCCTCCTTTCCCTCCCACAGGCTGCACTTAAACCAACATTGAAGCCAATGAATGGAAAAGTCTTGATCCTAGTACTAATGGGAAGAAAGCTGCCTGCTGATCAGGAACATCTGCCTTGGAACTGTCCTGTAAGAAATGAATTTCTATGTTATATCAAAAATGTTTGGGACTATTTGTCATTATAGCTAGCAATACCCTAATACACAGGGCTTCTCTGGTGGCTCAGATGGTAAAGTATCTGCCTGCAATGCAGGAGACATGAGAGACTTGGGTTAGATCCCTAGGTTGGGAAGATCCCCTGGAGGAAGGCTGCTGCTGCTGCTGCTGCTGCTGCTGCTGCTGCTGCTAAATCGCCTCAGTCGTGTCCAACTCTGTGCAACCCCATAGACGGCAGCCCACCAGGCTCCCCCGTCTCTGGGATTCTCCAGGCAAGAATACTGGAGTGGGTTGCCATTTCCTTCTCCAATGCATGAAAGTGAAAAGTGAAAGTGAAGTCGCTCAGTCGGGTCCAACTCTTTGCGACCCCATGCACTAAAGCCTACCAGGCTCCTCCGTCCATGGGATTTTCCAGACAAGAGTGCTGGAGTGTCTTGCCTGGAGAGTCTCACGGACAGAGGAACCTGGTGGGCTATATAGTCCATGTGGTCGAAAAGAGTCAGACATGACTTAAGTGTCTTAGCACTCACCCAAATGCATGCAATCTTTTATTCCCAAGGGTGAATACATTAGCTCTCTTACTCAAACATGTTCATTAAGTATATACTATCTACAAGTCTATGCATGACAAAAGTGCTACGTGCATGACAAATACAAAGGTGAACTAGAGATTCTTCCTTTCACAGAATTTCCAGCCCAGAAGGAAAGACAGTAGCCACTCACACCGCTATAAGATAAGGAAAGTGCCACATTCAGGTCTTAGGGAAGCTAGACAGATAGACATACAGTTTCTCACAGTAGAAGAGTTCAAAGGAGGGAGATGTAATTTTCATGAGGGGGTTCACAAAAGACTTGAAATAAACTGGAAAATGACATTTAGATAGAATTTAGATCAGCTGAAATGCAGGTAGAGGCCCTGCTGGGGAACATAAAGATGTGAAAGGAGGGGGACTTCTCTGGCAGTTTGGTAGTTAAGACTTCACCTTCTAATGCAAGGGGTGAGGTTTCAATTCCCAGTCAGGGAGTTAAGATCTGACATGCCTCATGGACATAAAAATCAAAACATTAAAAAAAAGAAGAATAAGTAATATTGTAACAAATTCAATAAACGCTTTAAAAATGGTCCACATTAAAAAAAAAAAAGATGTGAATAGAGCCCTGGAGAGTGAAGACAGGGGTTCAGCACTAGGGCAAGGTCATAGACACACTTGAGTGCTACAAGACTGACAACCCATCGATTTCAGAGGTTTAGCAAAGAAAAATAAAAAGAGTCAAAGATGACTGAGGCTGTGAACTAGGGTGACCAAGAGAATTATGGAACCATGAATTCAATTCAAAGAAAGTGCTAGTCTGGCTGGGGGCGGAGGGCAATGAGCAGCTCCGTTTTAGACAAAATGAGTACAGGACATTGGAGTGGAGATATGTAATGTGGATCTAAGCTACAGAAAATGAGGGCTATAGGTTTGGTTTGGAGATGAAGTTCTGCTTTGTTTTTTAATATTCACTTGTCTGGTTGCACTGGGTCTTGGTTGCAGCACGTGGGGTCTTCGATCTTGGTTGTAGCCTGAGGGATTTCCCATGGTCATCTCACTATTTAAGATCTTTTACTTGTAGCATGCAGGATTTAGTTCCCTAACCAGGGAACAAACCCAGGCCCTCTGCATTGGGAGGGCGGACTCTAGCCACTGGACTACCAGGGAAGTCCTGGAGATAAAGTTTTTAAGAGTTATCTATTTACTGGTGAGAACTGAGAACAAGATTGGATTAGATTTGCAACGGAGATTTTTGAGGGAGAAGAAAACCAGACTCCCTTAAAATATATGCCAGTCAGGAAGATAAAGAGAATGCAGAAAAATGACTAGAGGGGGAAATGATCCAGGGGAAACCAGAATCGTAAGAAAAACTGGATCATGTCCAATGCTACAGGAGTTAGTAGAGAAAGAAACTACATGTTAATAATACTGTAACACCAAACACATAATCTCATTGAATCCTCAAACCACCCAATGAAACACAGTTCCCTGTCAACTACTGACCAGGCATTCAGACCCAACAAAGAACACAAACATTGCAGTTAAATGAACCTGGATTCTAATCTTGGCTCTGCTCTTCAAAAGCTGCATAATCATGAGGTCATGGAGAAATTAATAGTGCCTCTGACTCTCACAGAGTTAGGGAGGATTAAATTTTTAAACGCATGCCAAGTGCTCAGCACCGTGCTGGACACATAATAAACACTCAATAAGTGGGAGCTTTTGTTTTTAAAATACTAATAAACACAGGTTTTTTTGGTTTTGTTTTGTTTTTTTAACCACAGCCTGTTTATGGAAATGTAAATCAGTAAAGACATTTTGGAAAGCAAGATTCCACCAACATCTTTTTAATTACATTTGACCCAGCAATTCTGCTTTAAGGAATTCACTTTATAAAACTGTTCCCATGTGTAAGACTGTTCACTATTGCATTGTTTGTGATAAGGAAAAATTGGAACCAAACTTTTACATAAATTATGATATATCTATACCATATGGTCATACATCTATATGACACATCTATGAAATATTCAATGAAGATCTAAGTAAATTGATATGAGTGGCTTCCCAGGTGGTGCCAGTGGTAAAGAATCCACCTGCCAATATAGAAGATGTCGGAGACATAATGTGGGTTTGATCCCTGGGTCAGGAAGATCCCCTGGAGAAGGACATGGCAGCCCACTCAATATTCTTGCCTGGAGAATCCCCATGGATAGAGGAGCCTGGTGGGCTACAGTCCATGGGGTTGCAAAGAGTTGGACATGATGGAAGCAACTTAGAATGCACGCAAATTGATATGAAAGGTATTCTCCATATCTTCTTAAAAAGGTAATTTCTCAAAAGAATCCATATGATTTCATTAATGATCAAAAACATAAATGTAAAAAGTATGAAAGAATAAATACGAAATTAACTCTATGAAGTGTTGGAAAGTAAAGGAGTAGAAACTAAGGTCTTCACCTTTAAGTCTGTATACTTTTGCGCTGTTTGAATGAGAGGTACAACTCTATTATAACACAATTTCAAAAATGTAAGAACTTGAAAAAAAAAAGCCAGAAGTATTTTAGAAGAAATGCCATGTAATGTAAAGTTTAAACTCACCATTAAAAATGTAGATGGGGTGAACGGTGGGACTAGGATTGAGAGCACACACTATTAACACCATGTATGAAGTAGATAACGAGTGAGAACCTACTGTGTATCTCAGGGGACTCTACTCAGTGCTCTGTAGCAACCGAAATGGGAAGGAAATCAAAAAAAAAAAAGAGGGAATATATGTATACCTATAGCTGATTCACTTTGCTATACAGCTGAAACTAACACCACAAACATTGTCAAGCAACTATAGGCTCCTCTATCCATGCGATTCTCCAGGCAAGAATACTGGAGTGGGTAGCCATTCGCTTCTCCAGGGTATCTTCCTGACTCAGGAATCAAACCTGGGTCTCCTGCATTGCAGGCAGATGCATTACTATCTCACCCATCATGGAAGCCCAAATGATCCAACAAAAATTAATTTAAAAAAACAATGTAGATAAAAAGTCAATAAAGATAACAAACAGGGATTCTTGCACTTCAGAAAGTAGAATACCCTCAGTGAATGAGTGACTGAAAGTTGCTCAGTCTTGTCTGGCTCTTTGCAACCCCATGGACTATACAGTCCATGGAATTCTCTAGGCCAGAATACTGGAGTGGGTAGCCTTTTCCTTTCCCAGAGGATGTTCCCAACCCAGGGATCGAACCCAGGTCTCTCACACTGCAGGCAGATTCTTAACCAGCTGAGCCACAAAGGAAGCCCTGAAAATGGTTGCAAATTTTCATTTATCTATGGAGAAGCTCCACGGTTTCCATGTCTATGACCCTAGGAAGGCTGTAGTATGAGAAGACCAGTACACTAGAACAGACTACCTGCATTGCACAAATTTGTCTAGCATTTTAAATCCCTCGAGGAAAAAAAGTAATAAATACACAAATTATATAGGTAAATCAGAAATGGGACGCGGAAAAAATGGCAATGAAAAGCAGGCCAGAGCTATGTGACTAATATGGTCAGCATCCCAAGTGCTGTTGGGGAAGGAAGGGAGATGCCGAGGAAGTCAAAGAAGAAAACAGAAACACATTCCATCTCCTCTTCAGTTTAAGCCCTAGGAGGGTAGGAGGGTGAACCCGTAAGGGTGTGTCCACTGGAGGGGCCACTGAGTGTGCTGGCCCAGTGAGCGGGAGTGCGGGAAGGCCTCGATGCTGCAGGCAGGCCTCTTCGCCCGATCTTGCTCGCACGTCTCTGCACCGGTCCCGCCCGCAGCCTCCTTCAGGTCCTCAACCCCGGTTCCCCGCCAGCCCCTTTCCAAGAGCATCAGGAGATGCTTGGGGCGATCCACGTGTGTCAGGAGGCTGGCTCCCTTCGATCGGAGGGGGCCGGACCAGCTGACCTCAGCGATCCACCTCTCTAGCAGGCCTAACTCTAGGCCACCCCCTACCCCCGGGACGTCCCTGGCGGGGGCTCCCGAGACCAAAACCGCTGGCACTCACTGTCCCCGCAGCTCGGCCGTGGACGGGAGGGGCTTCTTCGCCGGCCCGGCCCGCGGCGGCGGCGCCCAGGTCTGCGGTTCACGCAACGGCTTCAGCGGGGGCAGCGAACCGCGCTGGAGCCAGCGGCGGCCCGGCGCCGAGCCGAACCCCCGGCCGGGACGGGCAGAGCTGCGGGGCGGGCCGCGGCGGCGGGGCGGGGCGGGCGGCCGCGCGCTCGCTCGGGCGCCGCTATTGGGGCGAACATGCTCGGCGGCCGGCAGTCCGGCGATGCTCTGGAGGGCGGCGCGCCCGCCGCTCAGTCCCGCCCTGCTGGGCCCGGATGCGGGTGATACGGCTGCCCCAGCCCGCCCGCCCGCGACGCGCGCCCGTTGCTAGGCGCCGGGAGCTTCCCAGCGGGCGGTCACCTCAGGGCGTGCCGCGGGGGTCAAGGTGCCGCGCCAGGATGGCGCTTGGGCGGCGGGAGGCAGCCAGGACTCACTGGACAACTACTCTAGGGTGCCGCCGCCTGCGGGATCGCGGCTGCAGGGGGCGGGGTGAGAGGAGGCTGCGGAAACGAGGCTCAGATAGCAGGTCAGTGAGACATGAAAGTGGTGCCACGTACTATAGATGGGGTGGGTAGTGGGCACTTGGACTAGGCTGGTGAGGTGAGGCTCTCTGGGTTGCATTTTAAGATTCAAACTAACCAGGCTCTCCAGAGTACTGATGAGTTAGACCAGCAGTACCTGACTAGCCAATCTCTGTAAGTGACTCAGTCGTCGAGTTCCCGTTCCCCTCACCTTGCCCTCAAGAATTCTGCGTTCTACGCCTTTATCGAGGTTCTTCGGTGGAAGGTTCGGCGGGGAAGCCTAGAAGCCTGACTTGCAGAGGGTCTTAGCCTGTATATGCTCTTGCAGAGTTGTTGTAAATCCTGTCATTTCTTGACCTCTCCACTAGGATTGCAAGTTTAGCCCTAGTAAGAGGACTTCGGATTCCACAAAACTGAAACTGCTCTCAGGCACACCACTTTTCCGTTTTCATTAAGCTCGATTCTAATCTTTCCTAGCTCCTCTGATTAAGAAAACCAACTCAAATTACACCTGGAACCTAAACCCTTCGTTGTGTGATCCCGGGGGTCAGGAAGATTATTAGTCCATTGACTAAAATATGGGGATAATGACAAACCTAGACAGCATATTAAAAAGCAGGGAAGTTACTTGGCCAACAAAGGTCTGTATAGTCAAAGCTATGGTTTTTCCAGTAGTCATGTACAGACGTGAGAGCTGGACAATAAAAAAGACTGGGCGCTGAAAAATTGATGCCTTCCAACTGTAGTGCTGAAGACTCTTCAGAGTCCCTTGGACAGCAAGATCAAACCAGGCACTCCTGAAGGAAATCAACCCTGAATATTCATTGGAAGAACTGATGCTGAAGCTGAAGCTCCAATACTTTGGCCACCTGATGCTGGGAAAGAACGAAGGCAGAAGGGGGCAATAGAGGATGAAATGGTTGGAGGGCATCACCAACTCAATGTGAATTTGAGCAAACTCTGGGAGATGGTGAAGGACAGGGAAGCCTGGCATGCTGCAGTCCACAGAGTTGCAGAATTGGACACAACTGAGCGACTGAACAAAAAAGTGGTATACTTAATAGGCTGCACATTGAAAATCATATGGCGACTTTAAAGGGAAAAACCCTAGGCCCACCTCTGAATCAATTAAGAATTCAGATCTGGGGTTGCACTCAGACAGTGGAGAACCACCCACTCAGGATAATGTGTATTAAATGTACACTAATACTTAATATGTCAAATGCTTACTATTAAAAGGTGTTTTGAGTCTGCTATTGCCTACCCGCCCCAGCTATCATCAAATGGCAACTTAAAAGGCTTGAGTCAATCTAAAAAGCAAAGGACTTGCAAGGCACCAGGCACTGTTCTAACTGCTAGAACAGAGAAGGTTAAGACTCAAACCTGATTATACTCAAACATGGAAGTGGCTGGGTTAAGCAACAGGTAACAAGTAAATGGAAAATTTATTTCTGATAGTAACAGATGCTATGAAATACAAAAAAGTTTATATACAAAGAGATGTGTGATGTCTCATATTTTTCCAAAATGAAAAAGCAGCCATGTATACAGATTCTCATGGCTGAATGTTCCAGACATAAGATTCCAAGTGCCAAGACTCTACATTAGAAGCTTGTCATTTGAGGAACAAAAGAAAATATAGCCAAGTCATAAATTAAGGATCAAGGAGTGTGTAAGTCACTCAGTCGTGTCCGACTCTTTGCAATTCTATGGACTGTAGCCCACCAGGCTCCTGTCCATGGGATTCTCCAGGTAAGAATACTGGAGTGGATTGCCTTTCCCTTCTCCAGAGGATCTCCCCGACCTGGGAATCATAACTAGGTCTCCCACATTGCAGGTAAACCGAGCTATCAGAGAAGCCTAAGGATCAAGGAGAAATCGTCTCAAATATCTCCCTGCCCTAATTTCTAGAACTTTTGAATAAGCTGCTTTACGTAGACTTTATAGATGTTATCTTTTATTGATGGATTTGAGATGCGGAATTATCTTGCATATCCAGGTGGTTCAGCATTCATCAGAAGAGTCCACAGAAGAGGGAGGCAGGTTAGAGGCCAGCAATGACCGAAGCAGAGACTATACTTTGAAGATGGAGGAAGAGGTCACAAGCCAAGAATTGTAAGCAGCTTCCAGAAATTGGAACAGAATCTTCCCTAGAGCCTTAAGAAGGTAGGAAGGGGTGCTGACACCTTGATTTAGCTCAGTGAAATTGATTTGAACTTCTGACAATTTGCGCTTTAAGTCACTTAAGTTTGTGGTAATTTTTTACAGTAATAGAAAACAAATACTTAGTATCAACTATATCAGGCACTGTGTAGGATTAAAAAAAAAAAAAATGGCCCACCTTAAAAAGTTGACTGACTTAAATTAAAGGAGAATAAGACTTTGGCTGGCTAGTAACAAATCTGTCAAGGAAAACAGCAGGGGCACAAAGTTGTCAATCTTCTCCGGGAGGTCGTCTCCAAGGACACAAGAATCTGTCACATCTTGGGACATCCTTGTGTAGCACTTATCTCACCATCTTTAAGCAAATTTTGCCCATTAGACTAACACATGAAAGCAGAGCTATTTTCCTTTGTACATCCCTCTCAATGCTGAAGTTACACAGCAAATAGCATTTACTTAGCAGTTTGGGCCAGGCACTACCCCAAGCATTTTCCATGACCTGACATACTTTAATCTTCACCAAAATTCTATTAGTTACCACTATTTCCCCTATTTTGCTAAGGAACAAGAGATGAAGTAATTTAACGACTCAAACTATTAAGTGGAAAAGTGAAAGTCACTCAGTGGTGCCTGACTCTTTGCAACCCTACGGACTTTACAGTCCATGGAATTCTCCAGACCAGCTGGAGTGGGTAGCCTTTCCCTCTTCCAGGGTCTTCCCAACCCAGGGATCGAACCCAGGTCTCCCGCATTGCAGGCAGATTCTTTACCAGCTGACCCACAAGGGAAACCCAATTAAGTGGAAGCTGGATATGAATTACGAGCAGTTTGGCTCCAGAGCCAGCACTCTTAATCATTTACTACAAAGGAACCCTCAAAGATAAGCCAAGACCAGGGTAACACTGCTAAAAGCCAGTGAGTGCGACAGTTACACTTTATGACTAGGGTAGCAAGGGGATGACCTAATAATAATAAAGCTGGAGCTTTGAAGGCTACAACTGGAATGTCCTTACATGAGATCAATCTTTGCATAAGTGGAACCTGGGTGCCCAGAGTTTCATCAATGAGGCTGGTTAGAGATTTTAAGTAAAATAAGGCATTAAGTTGCATTTCAGCAGGTTCTAACAGTTCACAAAATATTCTCATGTTTTTAGTCCTTACACTCCTGTGAAGGCAGATGGTATCCTCCCCACTTACAAACTCTCATACATTTCCCTATCCTCTGGCCCCATTTGGAAACTATGTGGAGAGTTGAATTTCTAGGATTGATTGTCTGCAGAAGACCTGTACAGCCCAAACACTGTTTCTTTCCTCTCCATATATCTAGGGTCTTTTTATCCTCACCAGCTTCAGAAACTTGGCTACTCTGGGAGATGTGCCAACCTCCAAGGACTGTAACACACATGGCCCTCAGTGTTGATAGAGGGGGAGACTGGGTATTGGGCACAGGAGGATACATGCGAACTTTGCTGTGAACCTCAAACTGCTCTTCAATATTTTTTTTACAAGAGGCATTGTTAAAATACCATCCCACATATAGAATATCATTCTTATTACTATTCCAAATCCTACATTGTTTCCCTCCACCCTCCCATGCCTAGGTAGTTAGCCAAACGCCACTTGAACAACCGTCACAGTAACCAGATGTTTTCTTCTGAGCCACTTCTACATTTCAGGATACTGGGATGTGCAAAGACTGGGGACTATACTGTGTATTTACTTATCAAAACAGTAAAATGAAATAGGTAATTTCAAAGATAAAGACTTTTAGGCTCCACCAAGAAATTAATGATTTTTAAACACAGATCCAACTATTTACCAAGACATTAAATTTCTTGCAAAACACCTGATACTCAATTATGTAACATTGCTTACAAACAACCTTCTTAATTCCCTCTAAGGATTCACTAAGCCTAAACTCACTAATCCAGACAAACAGCTTTCAAGACCCAAGACTGTATTTAAATATACTTAACTTTCAAATACTAAAAAGTTATGATTCTGGTACAATATCATCAAAATTCAAGGGCAATCTATTTCATACTGCATCATACCCTTGGCTCAATCAGTAATGATAGTAAAACTTTTTACTTTATTCCATGTTATGCAAAGAGTGTTACTTATAAATTACATTCACAGGCACAAATTTCCTTTCTTCTTGTTACACACAATACATAGAAGAAATATTAAAAACTCACTTAAATATGGGTAAAAGATGCAAAGCAAAAATAAGAATGAAACGCAAAAAGAAAATTGACATCAAGATTACTATTTTATAAGCAAGCCAAAGCCTGAGAAAATGGAATTTCTGCAACATTTTTAATCTGTAAACTGAACTTTTCATCATGCACAAAGGCCTGTGAAATAGGCTTTCTTAGATTAGACCCAGTTTGGCCAACTGAAAAATCAGGATTTTTTTTTGGTACAGGAAAATCTTCAATAAACCCAAGGAATGTTTTTCACAAGACACAGGCTGGACCCTAAGTTTTGCATCCAAGAGGCTAGGCTGTTGATTTGACTTAATCTTGTCGCACCAAGATTTGCAAAGGAAAGATCAAAGTCAACCAAGGCAATACATTTCAATTTGTTTCAATTGTTTATTAACAGACCAGATTACAAAAATAATCCTGGTAGATACCTGAAAGGAAGGAAAAAAAACCCCATTAAACAGAATAATTAAAAATTAACATATACCAGGAGTTACCAGTACCAACTGTTTCCACTTTTAAGTAGGGAAAAAAACAGGCCTTTTCTTCTCTCCATAATGTCCTCAAAAAGGAAAACCAAATCAGCTGTGATCATATTACATGGTTGATTTTCCCCCACTAAATGCCAACTCAGTGAAACCCTTATCAGCATTTAGATCAATTTACTCTAGCATTAAGTAAACTTCTTTCTGGATGTAGTTGCTCACCTTAGTTCATCCTTCTAATGAGCCTGTTGATCTGGTCTTCCCTGTTGCCAGCATCTCCACCTTCTACAAAATGGGTGGTCTTTTTCTTCATTCCACCTCGTGGAGAAGACAATTTAAAGGGCCACAGGAAGTTGTTTGCTTCTTTGAAACGTTTTCCAACAGTATAGATCTCATGAATCAGATCCTCCATGCAGATGATTCCGTATTTCCCTGAACGTGTTCAAGATTATTTAAGGTTATTAAAATTATTTTGAGACTATAACATTTTAAGGCATTAAAGAGTACAGGCTGTAACTGAGTTAAAAGTAAATCAAGAGTGAAATTAACAAGGAAATATGAGGCTTTACATACAAAGATAAGAGCTCAAGCCAGTAAAATCACACCTTCCATTTTTTTCATAAGTAGTATACGGAATAAGGGAAGGTTTCTCAAGACACCAAAAAACAGCTTGTCTGATACAATAAATTTTATAATAATTACCTTTCCCCATAGAGGCAGAACCTACCAAGAGATCGAGCAATCAATGCGTTGTCTGTCAGGGCAATTCGCTTTTTGTTGATTTTGCCATAACCACGCTTGTAAATCAATTCATTTACAGACTTCAGATTTGGGTACCCCCATGCAATGTATGGCTCCACAATTCTCAGCATGTTAACTGATGCCTTGTTGAGCTTCACAAAGGTGCCATTGAAGATCTGCCGGAGGCGAAGGAGCTGCAGCACCTTTCGAACCTTTGGGCTCACACCGTTGATACTGCAAGGAAAAAACATAGAAAATCCCTTCAGCTTTCATCACACTTTTTACAATAAAAAAAGACAGGGAACTAACATTTTGGGGCAACATGTCACACCCAAATAGGAATCTTCTCCTGTTACAAGACCACTCTTTCCTTTAGTTATAGCTGTATTCTATCACCTGTCAACTTGCCTCCCCAAAATATTCAAAAATTTCCCCAATGCTCTCATTACTTCCTTTTATATAGACCTGTTTCAAGTCATTCTCCAGGACACCGAACTCTTGTTCAATGAGAGAATGGACAGATGCTTTATGGGCACAGGGCTTATCATCACTAAAATACTCCCCCACCCCATTCCACTTACCATTCAAGTTTCTGTCCCAGTGTATTAGAACCAAGGTCCCCACAAATGTGAAATTTTGCTGAGAGTGGACAGCTTTCCCTTTAAGACTAAAATGCAATAAAGACTGAACTTACCCTCTGATCCTGATGACAAATGCCAATTTGGGTTCCGCGGGTACATAGAAGTTGCCAGCTTTTCGTGCCATCCTAGCCATTCGAATTTCAGTTCTGTACATCTGCCTGTATTCCTTGTGGTAATGCTTAGCTTTTTCATAAATAAGCTTCCTCCTTGCCTTTCGAAGCTGAAAAACCAACGTTCTCATTCATCTGCTTTTTGGCTCCCAAATACAATTAGCAATACTAGTTAATAGAACACTCTTCTTTAGAAACTTTCTCAACATCATACATATTAACATCCAAGAGAAGGACACCAACTTCATTAGAAAAGATCATTCTAAAAGTTAACCACACTGACTGGTACAGGAACTGAAATAAGCCTTGTTAAAAATATCCGACTTATTTTCAATCACAAGACCTCTTTACTGGTGCGTCAAAAAGTTGACTTACCATCTTTTGGGCAAACTTCTTTCTCAGGCGCTTGATCTTAAGCTCTGCGAAATTCTTTCGCTTTTTCTTAAGGGTTTCTGGCACAGCAGGAACCTTCTTTTTCTTCTCTCTGACAACAGCAGACAGGAAAAGAGTTCAAAAGGCCCACAACACATCACTCCCCATTCAGTACCGAGCACGCTCTCAACGTACTAGTTGTAGTATGCTATACCTGTAATCTTTATGTTTAACACGGACCACTGTCTTTAAACGAATGATAGACAACAAATTCACATTTAACCTACAATCAGTCCCGGGGTCCCCAAACAACAAAAATAGCGACAGCGAAACACAGAGTAAAAGACTGCTGCAAGACACTGATCCCTAGACTATTAGTGTGACTCGTAAACCACCTACCACCACCCCGTTTCAAACTTCAAGTTCCACATGTTTAAGCAAAGGCCTGATACCAGGGACGTCTGGGGCAAAAGTCAGCTAAGGAAGAACCCAATTCAGAGGTTCTGACCCTCTCTCCTAGGACGAGAGACTGAACAACCCCACATACATTCAGCGCTCACACCTTGTTCCCGATACCCTCCAAGACCTCCTCCCCAAGGCCGCCTGAATCCCATCTTAGCCTGAGACGACTAGTAGTGTCACAGCGCGTCACAAACACACAGATATGTTGGCAAAGATACAAGCTACAGACGGAACGAGGGAGAGAGAGACTGGAGGGCTCTGGTTTCGGGGATGGAAGAGGATACTCGAGACGACGAGGAGAAGCTTACTCTGCACCCTCCATGGTTCCAGCCGGGAAAGAGGAAGTTGGCGCATGCGCGCTGTCCACTTAAAGACGGCGAGCGTGAAGCCCCAGGACTCATAGGTGTCTCGGGATAAGCCAGAAAAGAACTCGCAGACGCAGAAGTAAGAACTGCCTGACTCGGCCTCTTTACAACCAAGTTTCTGGTAAAATGTGTATGGGAAAAATGAATGCATTGGCTAGACTCTTTAATTGGTACGATGAGAGCAAAGAGTGCCGATTCCTTGACTACTCGGGGTCCTAATCTTTAGGCTGCGTCGACAGGATATGGCTCGAATTCTACCCAGTAATGTATGCAAACGACGCGCCGGCGGGGCGCGAACTACAAATCCCGGCATGCATCACGTTCACGGCCCGCCCGCCGAAAGGGCAACGCCGGTCCGGTTCGGTAGGGAAGCGCGGCGGTGGTGGTCCCAGCCGGGTAAATGGAGAGCCTCTTGGCCTTCGATCCAAAGGGTCAGCTACGATTCTAGGCTGCTCCCGGCTTTTGGCCGCCTTCCCGGCCCTTCGCTAACCCCAGCAGCCGACCGGCACGCCCGTTGCCGCGCTGCCGAGGTCCTTGTCTTCGTTCCTCCAGCCAGCAGGGCTGTCTTCCGCAGCGCCTGATCGCCGGTGGAGTCGTCCAGAACCCCTGGGTTAACGAAAGTGACTAGACGGGAGACAAGCGAGGACCGGACGGCCGGAGGACGACAGCCCGGGCGCTGCGACTGTCCGGCCGGGCGGGTGGAGGTCCGGACGCCCCACGACGGGGTGGGGGGTGGGGGGTGGGGGCGTGAACCGCGATGGGAGGTGCGAGGAGCGCTGGAGGCTGCGGCCACGGCCATGTGAGAGGGGCTGCCCCGCCGCTGCTCGGCGGACGGCGGGCGGGCGGGGGGCTGGGCCGGGGGCGGGGTGCGCCCGGGGGGCGGGGAGGGCCGAGCTGGGGGAGGGCCGATGCCGCCGCCGACTCTTCCCGGTCGAGGGTTATATATCGCGGAGCGTGGAGCCCGCTCAGCGGCGGCCGGCGGCGTACCGACTCGCCATCGGCGCTGCGCTGCGGAACCCGGTGCCCGAGTGACAGCCGTGGGGGGGCGCAGGGCCAGGGGCCACGAGACCGCGAAG